TCAAATTGTAAACTGAGGCACTGGCTGGTTCTTTTGATGATTTAATCTTTTATCCAGGTAGCCTCCCTGCAAACCAGAAAGTGCAAATATGAAGCATGGAGCTTCTACATGGCCTGCCATACTACTATAGAGAAAGGGAGGGAACTGACATATTATCGAAAACCATAGAGTCTAATGATGCACTGACACCACTGCAAATTCCTTCACGCCCCACTGTGTCTCAGGAAAGGTAAGACATGCCTACTAAAAGAAAATGTGCTTTGCTGAAACTGTTCAAGTATTGGTACCAAACTCTGCTGCCATTTATACTAGTGCAGCACCATTGATTTCAATTGAGTTGCAAAATGTGGCCCTAAGTGTCTGTGTCTATAAAATAGATTGCATAGGTTGAATTTTTGTGGTGTCCTAAAATCTGTAACTGAACTCTCTTACCTCAGTCAAGGACCTGAGAATTACCTAGTTGATTGTTGATTACAAATGGAAAGCCATCTGATGACATTTGGTAGGAGGGTCCCAGAGATGTGCCCTTTGCTCTTCCCATGCAGGTGAGAGAAATCCAAATTTGCCAAGTTACAAGCCTTTGAAAAGTCTCACTTTGCACGTACTCAGTAAAAACGTATTAGAGGATGGCAGCTGAATTCTACAAAGATTCTGTCTAAAGTGGGCATGCTACTCCCTGAAGCAGAACAGGAATTTCCTGACACTCACTCCCTTCAGCTGGATATTGGAACTAAGCGCATCTCTTCCTTCCTCCTGACACTAAGGTAGCCTGACTCAGATGCAGAGGACACCAGGGGAGGGGCAGCCAGGCATAGGGAGAGGAATAGGCCTGGGAAGCTGACATGGGGGGACGAAGACATGAGGCTAAGATGTGGAACATGTTTGATAAGAGAAGTTCACTTATCCAAGATGTTTCACTTTGTTTTGTTTAACTAATATAAATTTCTATGCTGCTGTTTGTTTAATTAGATTCTAGTTACCACACAAGTACAGCTTGACACATGACATGAGCCAAAAGTTATTTTGTAAATAAGCAAAATATAATCACTATTTTCTAACATACTACAATATACAAGTACTGTAATGAGACTGAAAATATTAGGCTATATAATTGCTTAAATAAATGTATATAGTTCTTGTGTACCTTCCTCCGTAGCAAAAAGATGTATCAAATCTAATGGGAAGGCTCTATTTAGTTTTAAATCAGCAAGTTTTTTAATTATTATATTATATCAACCAATGAGCATTCACCACACTTTAGAAAGTAGCTGAAGTACAAATGGTAAAGTTGATTTAAATCCAGGCTTTCCATTTGGTGATTGAATCATGATTTTAATTGCTTTGATTTGAATCAATCCATCCCAATCACAAATAATACTCCTGATCAACATTCCAGAAGAAATCTATAGTGGAGACATAGCTTATGCCAGAAAAGATTCATGGCCATATAATGACAGGGTTGGAAATAGGGTCCAGGGGACTCGGATCTTAGTTCTTTGCCCTGCCAGCTGGACAGGCATATAAACTGGAAAGATGAAGATGCTTGTTCTTAGCACAGCATCATAATCAGTCTTTTTGGAAGGGATCACTGGACTCCTACTCCTGTCAGCCGACGGTCAGGGCAGTGAGTCCCTTATGACCGGCCGAAGTTCTTTTAAATTGTGCTTGGTTCTGTTACAGCAACTGAAGGAGTCAGGTTAAAGCTTAAACAGTTACTATTTTATTGTTACAGGGTAAACTTAGCTGTTAAATGCTACTACTGTGTTACAGATAACACAGACACTACAAAGGACAGGACAGAAATTACACTAATAAGTCACTTACAGGTACCATGAAACCCTTTTGGTTGTCTGAGCTCTTATTAAATGCATGCAAAATAGACACCTAGCAGGTATAATTCTCACCCCTGCGTTCCAGACTTGGCGTGGCCAGCGTCTTTCTCTCAATCCCTCGGGAAGAAGTAGGGCGAGGTTGGGCATCCCACGGACCTCGGGAGACAATCAATACCTGCCAGCAGGTATAGATGATTGGAGCTCAAATGGGGTGGGCTACTATACCCCTCTTATGCCCCTTGGGTCATGTAGGCTTCTTCCTGGTCTCAAGTGGCCAATTAGGAAAAATGGCTTTGAATGCCAAGTTTCCCACGAAGGGTGCAAAGCATAATTCACACCTGGGAAAATGCAGACAATGGGCACCTCTGGTATATGATGGGCGAAGATTCCTCTCCTGAGACAGTGCAGGCGTGTCAATTACTGGTACTAGCCATCAGGACGGCGGGAGGCCCTGGGTCGTCAGCTAGCCCCTTTACTGTCTGGGTTCTGTTTATGGTAGAGTCAGGGACAGGCAGCACACCTGCGTTCCCAGGGCATCAAAGGCTGACTGCCTTTCTCTTGCTCTCTGGCGGGGGGGAACAAGATGGGATTCATGTCTGGCTACAACTCCCAGAGCCAGTACCCACATTTTTTCATTGTCTCAATTTCAAAAGTATTTTAACTGATCTGTTCAGTGGAGAGGTTTTAGAGAAAATCATCATCTCTAGGGGAAACAATCTTTTTTTTTTTTTTTTCTGGCCCTTTTCTCCATCCATAAGAATGACAGGGTGGATTTTGTACCTACATTATTATCTGGAAATTCCTGCCAGATGAAAACAAGCAGAGGAAAAGGAAGTGTGTAAAATATTCACTGGTGTTCATCTTCATGAAACAAGTGATGTAAACAACACACATAGTACTGTAGAACTGTTGGTCGTTTGGATACACTGAATTTTGCTGGAACTCTTCAACCATTCTCAGAAACTTGTCAGATAAACTGATAGAGCTTGTGTGCCCTGGTGAACTATAGGTACTGTAGATCAGGGGTGGAGAACTTAAGGCCTGGGGGCTGGATGCAGCCTCCAGCTTGCCCCCGGGGCTCAGAGTTCCCCCACACCAGCATTGGCACACTAACCCCTCTGTAGTCAGTCCCCGTCTCTACCCCCCAGAGGGCTGGAGCACACAAAATATACTAGTCAGGCTCCCTAGGCTCGAGTGTGCAAGGGGAATGTGGGGAGTGTCTTTTTCCTTTTCTGTCAATGACGATTTTTTTTCTTTTTTCACTTCTCATTTATGTGCAGTCCCTGACTGATTTTTCGGTGGATCAGTGGCCTCCAACCCAAAAATAGTTCCTCACTCCTGGTGTAGAGGATATCTCTCACCCACTCTCTAGAGAGAGGTCAATATAAGGGCCAACAGCCTTGCTGAGCCCCTGGGTAAGGCGGGGGGAGAGGGGGAGCCTGCTCCATGCCCCGGAAGAGGTAGGGACTCAGTCAGAAGGGGTGGGGTTGGGACTAGGCAGCCCATAGTGATGCCTGGAGAGCACCATGCTATGCCCTTCTCCACTCCGCCAGCCCTCAATGGTGCCCAGAGTACACTGCACATCACTCCTGCAGCAATTTAAAGGGCCCAAGCTCCAGTCACTGCCATTGCTGCTGCCGCAGTAGCAGCAACAATGGCTGGGAGCTCCAGATCATTTAGTATTGCCAGGCCTAGGGCAATTGCCCTCTTTGCCCCCCCTTCTGGGAAGATTTTCAAAAGCACAATTGTACTTAGGTGTCTAATTCATGCAGTCAATGAGGCTGTGTCTAGACTATGGGGTTTTGTTGACAAAAGTGGACTTTTGTCGACAAAACTATACCTGCGTCTACACTACCGCCGAGTTCTGCTGACATCATGTCAATAGAACTCGGCAGTTTTGTCGACGACGGTAAACCTCATTCTACAAGGACTAACGCCTTTTGTCGACGGAGTTCTGTCAACAGAAGGCGTTATTGCATCTACACTGTCCTTTGCGTCTAAACTGTCATGTTGACAAAGTGGGTGCTTTGTCAACAGAACTGGCTGTAGTCTAGACACACTTTGTCGACAGAAGCTTTGTCAACAGTATCTGTCAACAAAGCCTCTGTCGACAAAAGCCTGTAGTCTAGACAGACCCTGAGAATTAGATGCCTCACTGACATTTGGTTCTGTGAAACTCCCTCAGCATATGAGCTTATGCAATGGTATTTAGCACCTAAAGGACAAAGTGCCTGCCCATGTTTCAGCAGCTCAGACACCCAATGTATGTTATAGGAGGTCGGACATACATTCACCTACCTCTTCCTCCAGCCAATCAAAACATACTAGACTTGCTTCTACTTCCATTGACTTCAACTGGAGCAGGCACATTATGACAGCTGTGATCAAAAAGTTGAGTAGCTAATAGCCAAGGGAATAATAAATCCAGTGCCTTCATGGTTAAAACATCCACGACGTTATTTGAGGCACCATCACTGCTGCTATTTAAGAACTTTATTCTTTGTTTTAGATATGAGGAGTTAAGAGATTCACATCAGTGGTGCAGGCTTCCCTGGGGAACTGAAAGAGAATATGGAGGAATTGCACCAGTTTCACTGCCAGAAGATCACAGACCAAAGAATGAGCCTCCTTGTTTGCTTGCTAAAGGACATCAACATTATGCTTATGGTGGAGATTCCTGGCCAAGGTCAGTTGGTTGCATGTTTCATACATTCCAATTTTTGGAAGTGTTGTAGTCCAGAAACAGCTAATGAAATGCAGTGCGATTGGACAGCAATGCAGATAGAGCTGTGTACATAATTTGTACTCTGGGGATAGACTTTGTTACGTCCATTTTGGACACTGCTCTATCCTGCAATGTTCTTCAGTCATAGTATCCAGGGTCACCCTCCATGTATTTACTAACACTCTTAGAGCTTTGGATCTCCACATTTAGTTTATATTTCCTATCATTTGGTAACTGTGTAGTATTTATTATCAATTGTCATAAACTTCCTCTCTGACCATAAGGAAAGTCTCACTAATTCAACATCCACAAATCCCACTGAAGTCAGGAGGAACTTTGGCTCTCAGCATTTTTTTTAAGACTGCTCTGACTTACACCCAGCATCTTGCAGTCCCAGGAACCATAGGCAGGTGATCAGCCATGCTCCCTTTCCATGGTTATGCATTCTGCACCCATGGCTGAGAGAGGAGATAATTCTACACGACTCCTCAAGACCCATGAATTCCTCTTTGTTCAAAATTATACCCAGGTAGCTGGGGAGTTTGCTTTCTAGCTGCTTTGCACTGCCAGAATGTGGCCCATTATCTCCATTTGAAAATTGCCACTCAGCCCTGCCTGATCAAATTAAACAAGGCTCAGAATTCGCAGTTGTGCATTCCCTTGTCTCTGAAAGCCCCAATCTATTCTTCCTACCATTCTAAAAGGTAATTTCCTTTTAGAATGTGTGTGTGCAATGCCCCAATCTATTCTTCCTACCATTCTAAAAGGTAATTTCCTACAGCTATGTGTGTGTGCAATGCAAAGGAGATACATAGATGACAGGTGTCTCCAAAGATTGCATAACCTTCAAGACGTGTGTGGTGAAGTTCACTGAGCTTAGTGCTTCCAATACAAGTAGCATCAGGTTCACCCCACTTCCAAAACAAAAGAGAAAGAAAAATGTCTGAAAATCCTATTATACCAAGATACCCTACATTAGCTACCCTGAATATCTCTCTGACTTTCTGGCTCTGTAACACCAGCGGAGGAGCCTGGGCAATAGATATGACTTCAGATATCTCAACCCTTTTGCAAAGGAATTATGGAATAATGTTCAGTGGTGTTACTCTCTGCTAAATGAGAAGGGGAGGACAAAGAGGAGATAAGGGCATTGTCCTGCGCCTCTCCTCCCCCATCATGTAATCAATTTTCCTTATAGAAATTGACTTTATGGTGACAATTCCTTGGAAAGACTCCAAACAAGAATTTTTATTGATCTTGGGGTTTTTTAAATATATAAATCCTAGACGTATTTGGTGTGTAGACATACTGGGCCAGATCCTGGCCCCTGTTTCATCCCCTTCTCTTCTACTCTGGTGGTGAAAGGGGTACAGAAGATTAGCTTTAATAGTACAATAGTCAGTCTAGCCATCTGCTTTTAGTCTCCAGCATAACAGGTGTTTCAGGAATGTACCAAGGTGTAAGATCTTGTGATCATAAGCCAGCTCAGTGGCCCCGTGGGGGCCAGAACTGCGGGTGCTTTTAGAGCAACCCTGAAGTCTGAATTACAGATAGAGTCCAAGTAACCCCTAACTGTCCAATAGAGTTACCACTCAGCTGAGTATTGGCCTGCACACTGGAATAGTTTCCGTAAACATTCATATTACCATCCAAACAGAAAAGCAATGTTACTTCTACATTGCCTGGAAAGTTTTATTTAGGTCCTTTTATCTATCTCCTTCTCTACATTTTAAGGGCTGTGAATATTGGTTTCTGGCAGTTGAAGCAGAATCCCTTTGCAGCTGCCTTAGCATGTTGTTTCCAATTAATTTTACCAAGAAGGCAGGTTAGAAGTGTATTAAGTGCTTCTTACGGTACAATTTAGTCTGGGTCGGAAAGCTGTAAAAATGCAAGGGAAGTACTGTATAAATCTGTGACTGTACTCATTGTGCTTTTTGGAGGTACAAAAAGCCTGAATTCATTTGCACAGATGCACACACAAAAATATGCAACTTGTATTTAAAATACTAAGAAAACTTACTAGAATCTGAGGGTATGTCTACACTACCACCCTAGTTTGAACTAGGGTGGTTAATGTAGGCAACCAAAGTTTCAAATGAAGCCCGGGATTTGAATTTCCCAGGCTTCATTTGCATCTTGCCGGGCGCCGCCATTTTTAAATGTCCGCTAGTTCGGACTCCGTGCCTGCGGCTACACGCGGCATGGACTAGGTAGTTCGGATTAGGCTTCCTATTCCGAACTACGTTACTCCTCGTGGAACGAGATAGTTGATTCTGTTAGGAGGCTGTTGTCTGTTTGTGAGTCCCACACAAAAGTACTTGCATTTTTTTTAAATTCCATATTTAGGAGTTGGTTTACTCGTTCATTTCTGTGAGTGAGTATACTTCTACTTTGGTATCATCTGTACATTTGTTTGGCCTGCTGGTAAGGAAGTATAGCAAACAGTGTGGCTGCTTCTAGACTGACATGATTTTCCGCAAATGCTTTTAATGGAAAAGTTTTTCTGTTAAAAGCATTTGCAGAAAAGAGTGTCTAGATTGGCACGGACGCTTTTGCGCAAAAGCACTTTTTGCGGAAAACCGTCCGTGCCAATCTAGATGTGGTTTTGCGCAAGTAAGCCCCGATCGCCATTTTCGCCATTGGGGCTTTTTTGCGCAAAACAGTTTTTACCTGTCTACACTGGCCTTCTTGCGCAAATCATTTGCGCAAGAGGGCTTATCCCTGAGCGGGAGCATCATAGTGTTTGCGCAAGAACAGTGACAATCTTACATTAAATCGTCAGTGTTCTTGCGCAAATTCAAGCGGCCAGTGTAGACAGCTGGCAAGTTTTTCCGCAAAAGTATTTGCTTTTGCAGAAAAACTTGCCAGTCTAGACGCAGCCTGTAAGTATTACAGGCAGTCCCCGAGTTACGCGGATCCAACTTATGTTGGATCCGCACTTACGAACAGGGCTTTCTCGTCCCGGAGCTTGCAGGCAGCGGGACCGCCCAGAGCACAGCGGTCCTGCCACCTCGACCTCCGGGGTGAGAAAAGCTGCTCCGGGTGCCCCTGGTCTGCTGGGGACCATCTCCAGCAGACCAGGGACACCCGGAGCAAAGCCTCAGAGGCGCGGCACCCCGCCGCCACTTCGGCTTTGCTTCCCGTGTTCCTGGTCTGCTGGGGGAGGCGCAGCTAGTGCGCCCCCGCCCACCAGCAGACCAGGCTTTTGTTGTGGACCCTGGGGTAGAGCAGCTGGGGTGCTGCCGGGTTGGTCCTGCAGGGACCTACCTGGCAGCCCAGCGGTTCTGTCCCAGGCTCGAGATTCAGCCGCTGTTGAAACTGATCAGTGGCTGATTCCAGGAAGCTGGGGGCAGAGCAATTCTGCCTCCAGCTTCCTGTAGTCACCCCTGGTCAGTTTCAGCAGCAGCAGCTGAATCTGGAGCCAGTTCCGACTTAAGTTGAATTTGTATGTAAGAACAAACCTATAGTCCCTATCTTGTACGTAACCCGGGGACTGCCTGTACAGTTCCAATATCTGTGATTATAACCAGTGCTTCATTGCTTCATTTTCACAACCCAAATTCAATAGAAAGTTTATGGAGGGTAAAAAGTGGGGAAAGTATTTTTCCAGCAAACTGCTGTCTGACAAATCTTTGGCTTTTAAATGTATTCTGGAGTGGTTCCTTAAGGTGAAGTTGTTATGTGAGCACACATTAAGGAAGATTTAATTTTCTGACTACATGTTTCAGAGAGGTACCCGTGTTATTGGCAGAGCTGCTTTTACGTGGAAAAATAATTGAAGTAATGTGCAGTTTTCCTCAGCAGATGTCAGTGTGCAGTAGCAAAACAGGGAAGACTATTTTTCAGAAGCATTGAGTTATTTAAAATTATTTATAATCCTGTCAGTGCTGGGGGATGCAGTGTCCAATGCAAAATGTTCAGTTGTCAACTGACACAAAATGCGTGGGAAGCCAAAGTGTCTCCTTTGACGGACAAAACTAATGACTCCCTGCAGATGCATTGAACCAAAGGTTATTCCAATCCCAGATGCTGTATCTCATTTACTACGTTATTCCACTCAGCTGGAAGAGATACAAAGGCTGTGTGTGTATCTGAAAACGCATCATTGCAGCATTATACTTTTGAAGTGTAAAACAGATAAAAATTGAAAAGTTCCAGATCATCGTTACATTTTTATTGTAAAGTTGAAAAGAGAATTTATAGTATGGAAATAGTTTATGTGAGGTGTTCCCATTGAGATCTGTGTTCAAGGCTAACATGTCCCAGAATACTGAGTGCAACTTGGCCAATTATCAGAGAAAGTTTGTTGGTAGGTAGGTAGGTGGGATGACTAATGCAAGCTTCACTGATCCACTAGAGTCCCCTATGAGGGGTAGTCCACTGACTGCTATTGCAGGTATTGATAGAGGGGAGCATACATCCTCACATCTCACACAGACATAAGGTGTTAGCAGTAGCTGTTAAATGAAATCCTGGGTATGTCCACACTGCAGAGTTTTTCCAGAAAAAGGGCCAGTGTTTTTTCAAAAGAAGAGGCTTCCAGGAAAAAGCACAGGTGGCCACTCTGTCCATAGTAATCACAACTCAAAAGCGAGATAGCGTCCAATCAATGTGGATGCTATCTTTCAAAAAAGCAGATCGCTTTTTCGATGCACTTTTGCTGTGTGGACACTCTCTTTCTGGAAAAGCTTCTTCTGAAAGAAGCCTGTAGTCTAGACATAGCCCCAGAGAGCGATTACTAGGTAGACACGGTGAGTGAGAGAATATCTTTCACTGACCAACCACAGGTGATGTGTGGAGGTGCACTCCCCATACTTCCCCTCCCAAAGCAAAAAGGGCTGGCCAGCAGCTAGCAGGAGGGCTGGCATGGGCAGCTGGAATCTATATAGCGCAGTGTGGTGCAGCCCCCTCACCCTCCCCCCCTCCCTCCACTCATCGGCAGTGGCAGCAGGGAAGGCACATGCCGGGCAACTCCAGCCCTGGGGAGGGGTGGAGTAAGGGTGGGGCAGGGTTGGAGCAAGGGGCACAGAAAGATGGGGCTGGTGCCCCTCCTCCTTCCTCTGCCATATGTAACCACTGAGACCAACTTCTAATACGAGCTATTACCTCACCCACCTTGTCCCTCTAATATCCTGGGATCAATATGTCAACAGCAACACTACATGGAGAGATGACTGTCAACTCTCCAACAATCCAAGCCACTATGTTAAGCCAAGCAGAATATATTAATACATGCCCTGCCATTCTCTACCAGCACTTTCCTCTCGCTACTTCCTGACCAGGCTTCCTTTTCCTCTATGCAAGCTTAGCCTTTGCAGGTGAGGGTCAGCAGCCCACAGGCTGTTCTTATTCCAAGGATAACATTGCCAGTTATAACTAGTTTCTCTGGTCGTATGTTCTTCAGTTTGCTGTCCCTTTTGTTCTCCCTTTCTCTGTCCTGCCCCATGTTAGCTGCTGATAACCAGCATCTGTGCCATCAGAGGCAGCTAAGATGCTGTCGTCTCACTCAGAGGTCATGTGTCTCTTCAGCAGCAAGAAGGACCACTGAAAAAAGTTGTGGATTTTGGCCCACTAAATGTCCAGTTCTGTCAGTCCGTTGAGGTCAATCGGGAATGCTGGAACAATTTGCATAGTGGGGGTGCTGAGAGCCATTGAACCAAATTTGTAACGCCTGTATCTAATGGAAACCACTTCAGGTCAGAAGGTGCTGCAGCACCCTCAGCATGCCTAGTTCCAGCACCTATGACATCAATGGTCGTAGAGGATCTTCGGCTTCTTCTAGAAAATGCTCAGCTCCTCGAAGGATCAGGCTCTTAGGGTTTGATCCTGTGCCTATAGAAATCATTGATGAAGGTGATCAGTGTGAGCAGGAGCCTGCCTCTTAATGTAGTAAAATGAAGGCCTAAAACATAAGCCCATGTTGCAAAGGTCTGGCTAGAGGACTGAGGCCTAGTTAACAATGGACAAAACATGGCTAACATAAAGCAAAGCTAAGCTGTGAGTAAGAGGCAGGCCCCTACTCACAGAACTCGGCAAGATCAGGGCTGAGAGGGTAGAACCTATTACCTGGGTAATAGGACCAGGTGTAGAACAGTAACTGGTACTGGTCATAAATTGAAAGCACATGGTACCACCAGCTCATTAAGAAAGACCTTAGTAACATTCCCCACAGATACAGACCCAGGTTCAGGAAAGGGACTAAAATGACAGCATGATGGATAGAAATGATCTAATCAAACTACGAGGTACAGGGTAATAGATAGTATCTAAGTAGCATCAGAGTTTGATAAGCTGACAACATCAGAGGGTGTCAACTTGACACATCAGGAGTGTCCATGTAACTTGTTTGTACTTGTATATAAAGTGGTGCCTTGGGGGAACAGTCTTTGAGTAACCTAGGGGGCAGTGCGATCACCCACTGATTGAGTGATTCCATTGTTACGGGGTACATATGCATAGTGGTTCGGTAGAGTCTACTGATAACTTTTACTGTACTTCACTTAATAATAAATCTGGCTAGGCACCTTCGATCCTTATCTGGTTTGTGGTCTTTGGGGGCTCATTTTGGTCTGCTGTGTCAACTAATTGTGCAAGTCGACACAGCACACATCACTGAGCACACACGCAAGCAGCCTTCCAGTTATCATCATTCCCGGAACAGGAACCCATCAGAATGACCCTGCCTGACTGACTACAGTCAGCACTTCTGAAAATCAGGTCTTGTGAAACTTCAGTGTTAAGGTCTGAATCTGATAGTAAGAATCCAAATTTCCAGTATCTCTGAATGGTAGTATGGGCAGTGTGTGAACTGCAGACAAAAGCACATGCCATGTCTGCATTTTTTACAAGAAAAAAAAATCAAATGTGTTTCTTTGGAGTTTTATAACCAATAAGTAAAATGTTGTTTTGTGTTTTTCTCTCTCTTTATGCAGAGGTCTTCCCATTGAGCAGTACTACGATGTAACCCAAATGAAAAAAAGTGATGTTCGTATGAATGATGATCTGTAAGTTTCCATTACCATGTAGATTGGATCATTTATTTAGTGTGGTGAATGCAATGAGAAGTCATGAGGGTGGAAGAGTCAGCATCATGGGTTCATGTTTATGATGAAATATGACCTGCTGCTTTACTTTGTATAAAATGTGGTTGATCAGTGACTATAGAAAACACATAGGCTACATCTACACTGCCCTCTCTTGCGCAAAAATATGCAAATGAGGCGAATCATGGACTATCGCCACGCCTCATTTGCATAATTAATGAGACTTCATTTTTGTGCAAGAGGTTTTTGAGCAAAAAGAAGCCGTCTACACAGCTCCTTTTTGTGCAAAAAACCCCTCTTGCACAAGAGCCGTTCTTCCTGAAAAAAGTGGAAGAACAGCTCATATCTGTTTTGTGGACATTGATCCTTTGGCGAAATAAATTATATTTCTGGATGCGCAGGAATATGTGTTCTTGAGGTACCAACCCTGGTACCTTCCCTTGCAACAAACTCCGTTGCCAGCTTTGTCCACATATTCTCTCTGCTGATACCATTATTGGACCTAACCAAGGGTATGTCTACACTACCCCCTTAGTTCGAACTAGGGGGGTAATGTATGCATACCGAACTTGCTAATGAAGCCCGGGATTTGAATTTCCCGGGCTTCATTAGCATAAAGCCGGCGCCACCATTTATAAAAGCCAGCTAGTGCGAACCCCGTGCCGCGCGGCTACACGCGGCACGGACTAGATAGTTCGGATTAGGCTTCCACGAGGCGTACAGATAGTTTGGATTAGAAGCCTAATCCGAACTATCTAGTCCGTGCCGCGTGTAGCCGCGCGGCACGGGGTTCGCACTAGCGCTGCGCGATCAGCATCCCCGCCTGCATGGCCGTCAATGGCCATGATGTCATCATGAGGCGCCCCGGCCAGCGGCGCTCTAGGCAACTGCCTAGTTCACCTAGGCTCATGGGCTGCCCCTGGGTATGAGGGGTTTGGTTTGGGGTATAACACACACTTAGGACAAATCAAATTTCAGAACAGAAGGGGAATGGTCTGCTACGTACATTGGACAAACATCTCAGATACTTCGCCAAAGGATCAATGCCCACAAAACAGATATTAGACAGGATCACAAAGAAAAAACAGTTTCTTGCCATTTCAACCAGAAAGGACATTGTCTCAACGACTTGATTACCTGCATCCTGCTTCAAAGGCCTTTTAAGAATACACTTGAAAGAGAATCCTCTGAACTGTCATTCATGCTCAAATTTGACACTTTACACTTAAGTTTGAATAAAGACTCTAATTACCTTACCCATTACAAAGATAGTTTCCCCAATTATCACCTCTAATATCATTAGCTCACAGACATTTACCTCCCCCCTCATCCGCCTTCTGTTCTGAAATTTGATTTGTCCTTTTCATGTGTGTTCATTTTTTTAAATTGTATCCTTTGGTATATATGGTTATGACAATTTTCTTCCACTATTTGATCTGGGGAAGTGGGTCTGGCCCACGAAAGTTCATCACCTAATAAACCATCTTGTTAGTCTTTAAAGTGCTACATAGTCCTGTTTTTTGTTTCAGCTACACCAGACTAACACGGCTACATTTCTATCACTATCTTGCCTGAAATTGAATGTGGCTGGTTCAACCTGTAGTACACCATTCTACCACTTGATGGAACCAGCAAAACACTGAAACATGCAGCTCATACCCCAGACCATTTAGATTAATGAGACATCAGTCAGAATTAAAACACTCCACAGTCAGGAAATGAACATGTTAAGGTCCTTGTAGCAACATTATATATGCTTAGTTATGTATACCTTACAGTTAAGGCTGCATTAATTTCCCCCGATTGTCGGCCAGTGTGAACAACACTGTGTGATTCACCTTCACCCCTTCCTCCTGTCAATCTGAGTTGCCATCTCTGAGATTCAGAAAAACTAGCCCCTGGCCACCCCACCACCACCACCAATAGGGATCCTAGTGCTAACAGGAGCTAATTATTACTCAACACCTGTGGCCACAGCCCTCTTTGATTTTCTAGACACACAGGAACACGGGCCTCTCCCCTTGTGAGCTCACCAACTCACAGGAGCATGAGGGAGCCCCATGACAGTCCCTTCCTGGGATCCCCTGCCTCCTCTTCCCCATTCCTTCCCCTCCCTGCTGATGAGCCTCAGTCCTTCTTGCTTTCTGGTTCCCCAGGCTGAGAGGACCAGCTTCATCAGGGATATTAAGTGATTCTTTGTCAAGATACAAATTTCTTGATCAAGGTATAGCCGAGGTGCAGACTCCAGAGGAATATAAAAGTAACCCCAACAATAACAATAAGTAAATAAAAAGATTTTAGGGTCCATTCAAAAGCATCTGCTGGTCCAGATTTGACTTGTCTGCTTATTGACTATCCCTGTGCTACTGTCTCAGAATGGTGAGGGGCCAGCACACGGAAACAGTTGCCAGCTATGTTCCCAGACAAGTGACATGCGGTAGTTACAAAATCACCGCACATCCACAAATACCAGCAACTAACAGGGAGTGTTGGTCCCCAGGGGAAAGGCGAGCACACTAAATCTTTTCACCGGAAACTGGCAATGCAGTACAAAAACCATTCAAGCTGATTAAAAGCAGCCGGGGGGCAAGCAACCCTCCCTTCCCCTGTATAGTGTCTGCCAAATTCCATAGTGTGCCATGGCATTGCCACCCACTTGGGCATATTGTGTGAGCCCACAAGGGCTGGAAAGGTAGCAGCTCTATCACAATTCTGCTGTGTTTGGGTGCAGACAGGCCACAAAGAAGCGGCACGGGGTAAATCTGCAGCCCTGTGCTCCAGCGTGTAGTGCTATTTGCTGGCTGCCTCCATGAGATTTGAAAGAAGATTTGAAAGAACAGAGATTTGAAAGACCAAGGGAAGGTGGGTTTGGTAAATTGAAAGAGGACATTGGCCAAAACCTACTTTCCCTGGGCCTTGACCAACAGTGCAGCCTACAGGCATTGGCTGTGCAGCTGTTGCAAACTGTGACTGCAGATTGTGGGGAGAAATCCTTCCTTACAAGTCCTGCCACATTTGCATGTGCTTTGCACAAGTGGTGAGGATTTATCCATAGTGTGGAGATTTGTAATTCCTGGAGCATTTGAAAACTGATGTAATAAAAGTTTCTAGGTACACTGAGCTCAGCCCTGCCAGCCTTTGCATGATACCCCAGCAGGTATACAAGAAATGCAGAATCAGGCCCAGTGGGTTAAAGATAATAAGATACTCAGCTTTGACTCAGTCTTTTTCTTTGGGTGGGTTTCAGATCACCTCTCATGTGTCTGGGATGTTCAGCCAGCTGACTGTTTTATCTTACCTTTCATGGGCCTAACCCATTCCTTCAGTAACTCCATTGATTTCACTAGAATGACACCAGGCAAGGAAGTGGCCCCTTGTCATTTGATGGCTAGATGAATACCCTGTAAATTCTAATTCAAACTAGAGATAATTCACTCTGCCTGCATAAAAGCTGAAACAAAAGATGAAATACAGGAGGACTATGGAGTGAAATCCATCCCCAATCCAAGGCATAGACTCAGGCAACAGGTTCTTCCATCTCTTCCACAGTAACCTCATAATCACACACTCAGTCTTGCCTACTCAGGCCCACCCCATGTGCTTCCATGTTTGATGCTGGTTCTGAAACCAACCATCTTCTATGCGAGGACAGGGGTGCTTAGATTACCAGCCCCATTATGTGCAGACTTACATAGGGGCCATGGCCCTATGGCCTCTTTCCAGTGATTGCTGTTCTGATCTGCCTTTGGGCAGGCTACATTATGGAGATCAAAATCTGTCCCAGTATATACTGAAGAGAGCCCAGCCGTGGCCTCCGAATATTTTACTTTAGAGTATATTCTTAATTATTCTAAATATGATCTTAACTATTTAAAAAAATAAAATGTAATCTAGAAGAGAAGGCTTCCTTCTACACTTTTTAATGTTTCAGTCTCTGTTCATTGTTTCCAAAAGACCAGATTTACTCATATTTTATCTCTGAAAGATATTTTTTATGTTAAGAGTAGATCTCTTTTAAAATGTAAAATGCATAGAAAATGTGCCACATTCGTACTCACAGGCCTTTCAGAGTGAAGACATTTATGCAGTATTACACTGTAAGATGGTGATAGCCTTGCAAAACGGTGTTGAAAACTACTGGCTGAGTGCTGCTCTGGAGACTTACTAAGGAGCTCTTTACACCCGGTGTATTGACATTATAGCTTGGGATGGCTCTTTTGGGCCATTATGGTCTATCATGGAAAGTGAGTGTGCATTTGCAATAACTAGATGTCATATCCTAGTATGGGATTACTGTGAATTTGTAATAACCACAAATCCTTACGTAGTTTTGCATGACAATGAATGGCTTTGCATATACAAGAATTGCATTTCAAAGTGAATGAACACTGGGCCATATCTTCCCTCCCAGTTAAAAATATGCAAAGGAGAACAAGGGTAATCAACCCCTCATAGGAACTTTGATGTACCATCAGACACTTCCATTCACCATCCTGATCCAAGAGGCCACCAGAGATGCTGGGCAAGGCCAACAGATTTTCGTTGGCCTTGCAGAAAATCCTTCTCTTCATGCCAGTGATCTGGGGCCCACCAAATGAAGATCTGTGCAACTGCATTCCTCGCTGGTCCTGCCCCACAGCAAGGTCAGCCTCACAAGCTTGCAGTTGTCGCACCATTGGCTGCCAGGCAATCCCTGTGATCCATCCTAAGGGCTCACTGAATGTGTAGGATGCGTAAATACCAGTTCTAATCTATTTAGATATTTTACACAGACTTTGTGTTCAGGAGTGGTCGAATGTACCATTTATAGCTGCCATTCCTCAAGTCCATTCTCGTCTGCCCTCCCCCCCCCCTTTGCTACCACACTCAGCTGACTGCCTCCAGGTAGCCAAGTTTCTACATAGGTGCTCAAAATGCATAGGAGATTTGGGGGTGACATCCCATCAAGCTGCCTTTGAGCTGGGTCCCCTTGTAGTAGCTCTGAGCGAGCGGTTGAGCTGCTGCACCAGCTGCCAGTCAGCTGCCATGCTCCTGGTGGGAAGCGAAGAACCAGTACCCCAGGGGGCAGCAGAGCTAACACTGGGGAACCCGGTGGGCAGCTGAAGCCAGGAGCCTGGTAGCAGTCCAGCTTGGAGCAGAGATCCCACAGCCTTCCAGCTGGGGACTGGCTTTGAGGCTGATTTCATGGAGCTGTTAAATTGACAAGGAGCTGTTAAATTGACAAGAGTGACAGCCAACAGCCCTGTGCTTCTCGTGGAAGTGGAGTTATGATGTTGCTGTAGTAGGACACTTACATTGGCAGGAGAAAGACTGTAGTGTAGACACTGACATAGGTCAACAATAGTTGCCTTATGTTGACATAACTCTGGAGTGTAGACCAAGCATAAGTATCAGTAGCTTTGCAATCACATGAGCATGGGCATGATCTCATTAGGGACGCTTTCTCCTGACATCAGTGGGCTTTGGATCATGTCCAAGAAGCAGAGGAGAAGCAGTGGGAGATGGAGATATAAGGGGAGAAATGAAATGGTCAGGGAGAGTTATGGAAGTCAAAGGGCTCAGAAAATACAAAGCAAAGATAAAAACAAGGAAGAAGTACAAGAGTTAAGATATGAAATCTAAGGGTGTGTCTACACAGCAGAGCTTAACTCGAAATAAGCTACTCAAATTGAGCTACGTCAATTGTGTAGCTTATTTCAAAATAGCTTATTTCAAAACTACACAGCATTTACTTTGAAATAGAGCACTCTTCTTCTGACTTCCCTTACTCCTCAGACAAGGAGGGTTACAGGAGTCGGAGTAAGAAGTCCTCCAGCTTGACAGTATTTCAACATTATTTTGAAATAACTGCCTTCTGTGTAGAAATAGACTAAGTTATTTTGAAATAACACTAGTTATTTTGAAATAATGTTGCTGTGAAGACGTACCCTAACTATACTGTATTCACTGAGCTTCCTCTTTTATGGAAGAAATACAGGGTGGCTGTGTCTGCACTGGCATGAATTTCCGGAAATGCTTAAAACAGAATACTATTCCGTTTTCAGTTTTTCCGGAAAAGAAGTGTCTACATTGGCAGGCTGCTTTTCCGGAAAAGCCCTTTTTCCGGAAAAGCATCTGTGGCCAATGTAGACGCGCTTTTCCGGAAAAGACTACTGGGCTGTCTACACTGGCCCTTTTCCGGAACAGTGTTCTGGAATAAGGACTTATGCCCGAGCAGAATAGTTTTTCCGGAATAGCGGCTGATTTTGTACAGTAGAGCATCGTTGCTTTTCCGGAAATTCAAGGGCCAGTGTAGACAGCTCGCAGCTTATTCCAGAAAAGCGACTGATTTTCCGGAATAAGTGGCCCAGTGTAGACACAGCCGGTATGTCTACCCCGTGTCTTCTGAATGCGTCCGCTGTTTCAAAATATAGCAGATGTGCTATTTTGCCATCCCTGTAAACCTCATTCTACGAGGAATAGGGGATGGCTCAAAATAGCGCTTTATTTCAAAATTTGGCACTGACACACATATATCTATATGGCGTACTCCCATTTTGAAAGACTTTCTGGTTTTTGAAGAATAAGTCCTTCTGGCTTGATGGTAATGCCAAGAGACTCTGTGATTAAAGATTTGCTCTCCAAAATTAGTGCTGTGCTCTATCTTACTACTTTAAACAAATAAGCTTCTACCATGAAGAATAACTAACTTATCATTGCAAAATTATTATAGAATTTCTCCATTAACATGGTAAACAGAGTGGATATATTTTCTGATTATTCTGTTTGAATCCTAACTATCAGAAGTACAAGCTTTTTTAAAAAAGTATTATATAACGATGTTTACTAAGGCAGGGCAAGCATAAGGAAGTGTTAGAGGTTGATGCTTTCCCATTTCTTCTGAAATTGCACATCTACACCTCCAAGGGAGCATTCATATTTTGGCACATAAATATATAAAGAACTTTCACATAGAGAAACTGATATCAGTGAGAGTATTATCTGTTTTTATTACATATTAATTTGTCACTAATGTTTGTTGATTGTATTGATTTAGATAAAAAAGGGGAGAGAGCATCACAATGAATATAGCTCACTCCAAATTACTCACCTAATGTTTTCTTTTCTCTAATACAGGCTTCCTAAACCTCTAGATAATTCACTCAAGTAAGTGTATATCACTTTTCATTTTTCTTTATGCCACAAAAGAAAGGTTGTATCTATGCTGAAATAGTTGAAATTTACAGGTGTTGATCTTGCTGAGTGATGCCTAAGAGCTCAATGCAAAGTGTACATTGATCACTTTATATTATTTTTATTACAAATATTTGCACTGTAAAAAAGCAACAAAAGTAGTATTTTTCAGTTCACTTCATACAAATGTGATTCTTTCCCTGGATTATGAGTGATCTTGTTACTCCTCTGTTTTAGCAGACAGGATGCATTGGTGTTAAACTAAGCATATGTCTATAAGGGCAGATGTAAAATGCAGGCAGTTACAGTGTTGCTCACAGAGTGGTACAGGGACACACATTTCAGAATTATATTAATGACCACTATGTCCCCAGCTTCCATTTAATCTCTTACATGACATTCTTTATCAATAAGTATCATGATAGCAATGTGTTAAGTGGAGTGATCTTGTCAGAGTTGATGGAAGTTGCTGCTACATGACATTGAATCCTTGGCCAGTGGACATTGAAGGGGGTTTACAGTCACACTTTATTACCCTGCCTACATATACGGGCAGGGGGGAGAGGAAGCTCCTGTTTAGTGAAGAAAATATAGGGTATGGACTTCAGAATGGGGCCCTGTGTAAGCGGGGGAATGGTCCCGCTATTGTGGGGAGATTTCCTGGCTTCTATACTACCCCGGTGAAATGGGCCAGCGAAAGGATCTGAGTCCCCGCACCCACTTCCTTTACCCAAAAGCCTCCCTGACCCTGAGGGCTCCCCTTCCACTCTCCTGAGTAGCAGAGTCCTCGAAATCCCAACAAGGCTGGGCCCAGGTTTTCTGGGGCTTAATCCCTGACCTTGTAGTTACTTGGGGCAGGGGCTAGGGTGTCCCCACTCTGGGATGCTCTCTTCACACTGGATGCTTTCTTGACCCAGTGATTATTTCATACAGATAAAAACAAATACAATTTATTAAACAGCAACTGATTAAAAAGAAAAGAATAAGGAAAAATGAGAAAGGTTAAAAGAGAACACACAGCCCCGCTCTATAGCACGGGGACAGCACAAACAGCAGTTTGCAGAGTGTAAGAACAGTTCACAGTCTGTTCCTTATAGGTCCTAGGGATCTTTTTCAGGCCCTGGTTATGCTGCAGGGGGGAAGAGGGGGCGGGCTGGCTGCAGGTTGGACACGCTTGGTCTAGAAGGGTGTGTCTAGACTACATGCCTCCTTCGACGGAGGCATGTAGATTAGCCAGATCGGAAAAGGGAAATGAAGCCGCGATTAAAATAATCGCGGCTTCATTTAAATTTAAATGGCTGGGGCCCGCCCC